TGGGAGGGACTTGGAAAGATCATCCAGCCCAACCCCCCCTGCCAGAGCAGGGGCACCCAGAGCACATCACACAGGAATGTGGCCAGGGGGGTTGGAATGTCTCCAGAGAAGGAGACTCCACAGCCTCTCTGGGCAGCCTGGCCCAGGGCTCTGGCACTCTCACAGCAAAGAAGTTCTTCCTGACATTCACATGGAACCTCCTGGGCTCCAGTTTGCACCCACTGCCCCTTGTCATGTCATTGGACATCACTGAAAAAAAGCCTGGCTCTGTCCTCCTGACACTGCCCTGAACAGATTTGTAAACATTGATCATTGTCCATCAGCACATCAGCTTGGACACAGTGAGCTCTGGGCACCACTCCTGTCCACGCAGGGATCGCATGGAATCACCTAAGGACGTAGCATGTGAGGGGGATAATCCTGGTCCAGGCCCAGGCTCAGGCTCACAGCAGGGCCAACCTCAGCTGATGAGGTTGCTTATTGCTTGTCCCATTGCCTTTGGAATATCTTAGGATACCTTGGGATTTCCTTGTTTAAGAGAAATGATCTATAGCAAAGGGATTTCATTACAGTCCCTTGCTTCTGTGAGTGAGTCCCAGAGCCTCTGCCATAAACACTGTGAGGAGTTCAGCCTTTCAAAGGAAAACGTTAGAGCAGGATGGCAAAACCCTGTCTCTGATATTCTGAAGGTCTGCTGACAAGGATGCTGCTCCTCCCCCTGAAGAATGCCTTCAGCTTCTTAGCAGAGCCACCCAGGTGTTCAGAGAGGAGTACATTCTGAAACAGGACCTGGCAAAAGAGGAAATCCAGCAAAGGTAACACAAAACCCTCCTAAATAACTGCTGTACAGTGTCTCTGTGGAACAACAGCCCTGAGTGCTGGCTACTTCTCAGCTGGACTAACCCTTGTAAATGAGTAAAATGTACCCACCTAAGACTAATGGAACAGCAGGACTGGAAGCTGAGTTACCAGGGGAGGCAGGGGAGAGTGTGATACTTATTCTTTATAGTGGCTCACAGGGGAAAGGAAAAAAAGCAAACACACAAAATAGTTCTGGTCTGCTGTTGTCACTCTGCCTGTGCCAGGGGGCGGCAGGATATTCTTTGTCCCCAGCAAGAATCCTGACAAACCTGCTAAAAGGAAAATTGCATTAAATAAGTCTCTGCTGCTTCAAATCATGGATATTTATTTGATCATAGAAAGTCAGGACAAAATGGAAGAGTTTTGTTCTCACCTCTGCCCATTTTTCAGTGTCTCCAGCTCTTTGTAGTCCTAGGAGCATTAATCACTTGTGTCTTACTTTATGTGTGGCCCAACTCCTGATGCAGCTGGGTTGCTGCTGTGGGTGGTTTGATGCTATGTGTATTTATTTTAAGAGTGAAGCTGCTGAGGGAACAGAAAAAGAAACAACTGGAAGATCTTAACTACTGCCGAGAGGAAAGGTGAGTGTGGCCTGTCTGCTCTTACCAAGTCAGACATCAGAACAATGCATCTCTGAGCAAACAGTGCTTTATGCAGGGTCTTGTGTGAAACCAGTGAGAAGTGAGTAATGCATTCTCAGCCCTGGTTAGGCCTGTGGGTTCACTGCTTGGTCATGCTCCTGCTCTGGGTCCACATCCAGCTAAAGTAAAGTTTCTCACTCCACAAAGGAAAAGCTTGCGGGAGATGGCAGAGCGCCTGGCTGACAAGTATGAGGAAGCCAAAGAGAAGCAAGAAGATATCATGAACAGGTAAGGGCCAACTGCTCTCTCTGCCATCACAGACACCTTGCTCGTGTACAGAAAGATGCAGGTGTGGTGGAAGAGCTGGGTGGGCAGTGCTAAACTGGTTGCTTAGAAGCCTGGGCTTCCAAATGCTCTGTGCTGGGGCTCAGTGGTGATTTTTCATGTCTAGACTGAGTGAATTCGCTGTTTAGAAATAGTGGAGGAAAGAGGTAAGTCAAGTCTTAAGCCCCTAAGGCTTAGGAAGAGAGCCAGGAGTGCAAGGCTCAGTACTCAGCTTAGTGTAACTGGTCCAATAGGTAAGATAATTGAATTAATTGAACAGCATTTCTTGGTTTGTCCATGAAGGATGAAGAAAGTACTGCGGAATTTCCACTCTCGTCTTCCTGTTCTATCAGACAGTGAAAGGTACATGAGGAAAGAATTGCAGACCATACATGACCAGCTGCAGCACCTCAGCAATGCCATCAGACAGGTGAGAGAATGATCATCTGGCTGGTAGGTTACTCAACACCTCACTCACACCTAATGCTAGTGCTGAGAGCACCTCTATACTTCTGTTTAACCAGCAAGAGTAGACTAAAATAACTTCTGATCCTTGTTAATAATATAGACAGAACTGCTCCAACCCAGCATGAACCCTAACAAAGACAATCTCCACAGCTTCCTCAGGCCCAGCACTCACCTTCTGTCTTCTCTATGGGAGGAAAGTACAAAAGGAAACATATTTTTAACCCAAAGAGCATCAGTTCATTGCAGATTGACACACCAGTCCGTAACTGGAACCAGCTTTCACATTGGCAGGCAGTGCCAGCACTGACTGGGGTCCTTTCCTGCATGACTTCCAGGTGAAAATGAAAAAGGAATACCAGCAGCAGAAGATGGAGAAGGGCACCAGCCCCCGAAAACCCAGCATCACCCTCAGTGCCTACCAGAGCAAGTGCATCCAAACTGTCCTGAAAGAAGAGTAAGTTACAGCTTGGTTCCTACTGTGGAATTCAAGCTCTGGCATTTAATCAATTCTATTCCAGTTTCCAGGGTATAATTTAACCTCTGTGCTGCATGAGGGGCTGCCTGATGCACCAGCTGGAGGTTGTTGAGGTGGTCTGAAGCATAAAATGGTGCCAGCCCCTGACACAGCACTGGCACCATTACCCTACCTAAAGCAGATTTAGTTGAAGGCTATTTTTTGCCCAAGGATATTTTAGCAGTCTGTATCCAGCCTATAATGAACAAAATTCCTGGCAACAGTGCTCCTGTTCTCTGCTCCTACTATATGAAATATTTTATTTCCTGACTTGCAGCCTTTTGACTTGGATTTCTTTTTTCTTGAAGGGGAGAACTCATAAGGGACATGGTAAAACAGATCAACGAGATCAGAACCCGTTTGAACTTCTGACACATCCACAGTGAGGACCCTACACCAAAAGGCTGGACAAGCTTTAATTTTCCCTGTTGACTTTTTTTTTCTTCCCCTTGGATATTTAACGTTTGTATGTTGAACAAGATACCTTTTACTTATTATTTTGTAAAGTTGGCTTGTTAAAATACTTTTGAGAAGACTCCTTGCATACTGCAGTTTTGTTTTGCTCCCAGGAGAAGGTATTTTAAACCTTAACTATGTCACAGTGGGATACTTACTCCTAGCTCAGTAGTGGGGAAAGGTTTTGCTCCTTCCTGGGGAGACTTCTCCTACCCTTGGTCCATGGCAGGTGGCTGTGAGGGGGGAGAGGCCTGTGGCAGAAGGCAGAGTAGAAAGACCAGAGAAGAGCACACACTTCAGCAGCTTTTTGTTTTGGTTTGGTTTTAATTTGGAACACTTTCTTCATAAAGGACACACCTTCAATACAGTTAACAAATGGTTACAGTTGAATCCTGGAGACAGCAGAATTCTACACCCACAATTGCACAGGACACCAATGGCTTGGTTCACTGGAATGCAGTATTAACTTCCCAACACTCAGTTTGCCTTTATCAAAAGATGGCTCTGCAGTCTGTCTTGGCAAGAAAAGGCTGATTATTTATCTGCTGTAGACAGACCTTACATGGACAATAAATAATTGTTGTCCCCACCCTCCCACCCCTTAGAAAAGGTGACATGGTCAAGCTCAGTTTTGAAAAGTAGTACTGCACTGCTACAAAAGTGGCACAGTAAGAGGTGCCAAAGTAAAGCTGTGGAGAAAGGAGGGCTGTTAGTACCTGTTAGGTAATGAGGTTACCAGACATGCTGCAAGAACATTTTTTTTGTACAGATTAAGACTATACAAGGATAGGAATGCATACAAAACTTGATCTCGTCCCTTTTACAGCCTGCATGGACAGACCCCCCCATGTTTAACCCACTCACCCTGTGTCTCATAGCTGACCTGCCAGGTTAGAAGTCGTGCCCGTTAACAATCCCTTACTAAGCAAGGAGAACCTACCACCTTACTTAAGCTCCAGAACACCAAGAACAGGAGGAAAGAGACTTTTTTCTGATGCTTTTATGAGCAATAACCCCATAATCCATCCAGTGAGTATCTACACCCAGAGCTTTTGCTATGCTTAATTTACAGGCTTTTAAATTTGCTCTGCAAATTTGGCACACACTGTTACTTTTTTTTTTTTTAAAGGCCCCTTTAAGTTGCTGAAGTTCAGCAGAAGCTTCACTTAATGCTTCTGAAGCTGTGCCTTCCTTCCCTGGGTGGGACAGCCCCCATGGGTTAGCAGGACAGCTGGCTGGAGTCAGCACGTCTCCCACCACTTCTGTGAACAGTCAGGCTTCCAATTTAAAAATAAGATGTTGTTAAAAAGGTATGATCTTCAGTTGCATCAGTTGGTGAAAAATGTCACTCGTGTTCCAGCTCTAAAATGATCACAGCTGCAGAACCAGCAGTAAAGGTGTTCGGGTGCCTGATGGAGTAAGGTGGTAGAGAGGACAGCAACCCCACAGTGACTGCAACCCTTCTTCACTGCCTCCAGGTGCCTGGTTCAACAGCAAGAAAGCCAAGGTCAGCACCAGCCATTTGGGGTGAGTGCTCATCTCAGTCCTTCTTGCCCAGCCCCCTCCAACTACGTGGCCAATGAGTGAAATACCCCAGCACAGGGGGTCACAGCCCCCTCCATTCAGCACCTGTTGTGTTTGGCCCTGTGCAAGGTCACAAACTCACTGCCCACCCACCTCTCTCCCCTACACACCACAGCCAGCAGAAACCCATGGCAACGATATGTTAAAACCCCACAAACGCAGAGCCACACCAGCCTGGGCCTGTGTGAAACCATCTCAGGAGCTCAGCTACATCCCTGGTTATTTAAAGCAGAGAGGAGGGCCAGGCTGCTGAGAAGGGCACAACAACGGAGCAGCCAGGGATGCTGCAAGGCCACCAACAGCCCTCCCCTCCCTCTCTTGCACTGGGGCAGGCCAGAAACTCAACAAGTCTTTTTTCTGTTAAGTCTTCACATGCAGTTCCCTAAGTGCTCAGCTTGCTGAAGAGATGGCATTTGTTGTAGCTTTGCCACACAGCAACAGGCTTCCTTAAACACTGCTGCACAGGTTAAGTATCAGTAACCAGTTAGGAGTTAGTTTTTGGGAAGGAAGGGAACATAGGAAAAAGCTTTTCATTCTGCAGCTCCTAATGAAGGCCTATTTTTTTTTTTTCCTCCAAAGTTTATTCAACAGACTAGGACCTTAACCATTGGAAAACCAAATGCAAACCATCTGGTATTGGATTTATGCATCAGGAGGCAGCTGGTGTCACCTCACAGTTCAGAAAATCATGAGAAAGGTTAAAAAAAAATGCAAAATTGGGTACTAGCCAATTAATAAAGAACCAAAGCCACGTTTCAGTTTCACCTGTAAGTGAAATGAAGTGTCATCTTAGGAAGATGACAATTCTGCCATCTCTTAGTCTAGTCATTCCTAAGGCAGGAAAAAAATGGCTCTTGGATGTCAGGATTATGAAAGGAGTTAATTGCTAGGGTGAATAAAATGAGTGACAAGGAATTGAGCTTGTATGCTTTTTGGCTGTTTTTAAGGCATTCCTCTTCAAAACCACCAGCTCTAACTGTATGTTAGTAGCAGGATATATATACACTGCTAAAAATGGGATTGAAGCACTTCAACTGTAGTCATGTGCATTAAGAGTTTGGAGCATTTTCTTCATCACCTTCAGATCTATGGCCAAGTGGGTAAAGAAAAACCAATAAGCAGTGGAGGAAAGTCCAAGTGGCACATTTTGGAGAGTAATGACCTGCTCCTTCAACCTCCTTTCAGCTGAGTCATAAGTAGGGGCCAGTTCAAAAGCTCATTTTGCACCACCAGTATTACCAGCCCCTGCAACCATCCATGAGGCCATTGACACCTCAATAACAGAAGGACAAGAGGAGGAATGGCCATGTCACTGCCATACATCTGCAGAACAAGCAACCCAAACCTGCTAGCACCTGATTGACCACGAGAATTCCTTGCCTCTGCTGTCACCTCACACAGGTAGGTTAGAGAAATATGGGGCAGCGTTGGAGTCAGGTCAGAGTGACACCAGAACACCCAGAGGGCAGAGATGCACTGTGCCTCTCCAACCTGAACCAGCACAAAATGCAGCTCCAGCAGTTGTGCTCTGGGATGAGGGAACAATCCCTGCTCTGCACACCCCCCCCAGGGAGGAGGGGTCGTGCTGACTGCTCCAGTCAGCACCTTCCCAGGGGAAGGTCACACCTTTACACCTGGTGCCATCCACTGGAGCAAAGCAGACCTGCATGATCCCCGTGCCCCTGCTCAGACATGCACAGGATTTTTTACTACCTTTTCCTTTTTTTTTTTAGTAACACAGCAGGGATTACAGGTGCTGCTCAGCTTTGGAGATGAGAAAGAACCAGTTGTAGTTCCATATTCTCAATGACATTTGTGAAAAGAGATTACAAAACAGTGCATTTCTTGTGCTTTTCAGGAAGTATCAGAATTCAATAGAAAAATTTCAAGGAGCTAAATTCTCAGTACATTTTTCATTATGGTTTTTTTGGGGATTAGCATTTATCTGTTCAGGAGACACACAGCTCACTCATGCCCACCACGTTTCAGCAGCATTCAGAGTCTTCAGCAAAAAGTGGTTACCACAAAATGGTAAAAAGGAAAAAACAAAAAGTACTGAAAGAAGATCAATATCCAGTGTCCTGCTAATAAAGTCATATTTTAATATAAAATATTCATACAGCATACTCTACACCTCATTCTCTCTGCTAGCTGAATACTGTTACTGACTATTCAAACAGAAAAACTTCAACCACTTTGCTCTTCAATGTTTTGGAGGGACAATATGGTTTCCAGCAGCTACTTTGATCACAGTAGTGGGGGGAAAGGAAAGAGGGAAAGACAAGGGGGGTAAATGTTCCAAAACTCTATATTAGGTTACGAAGTTGGCTGAAAAGAGGGGAAGTTTTTCAGAAGGTAAGGACTGATCCCACTCAGTGGAACACGAAACACCACACTCATTAGTGTTTCCATTAGAAAGTTCTCCTTCCTACACTGCACATCACCCTGGTGCTCTCTTCCTGCCCAGTACGAAACCTTTTTCCCCTCTAGAAACAAAACTTAGTCATTGCTCCCCTCTGGTGTCATCTGCTCTTTCGGTTAGAGTTAAATAATAATTAATGTTGCTATAAAGATGAGTTAAAAACCCCAAATGCAGCCTTGGAGCCAGCTGATCAGGGTGTCATGTTTCAGGCAGCTGATTAATGTCCGTCAGTTTTGTGTCGTTCAGGATTGCACGGATTCTCTCCAGGGAATCTGCCTGCCGGATCCGCTCCAGCTGCACCTGCAGGGAACCAAGAGATGCCATGAGCCAGGGCAAGTGCAAGAGCACAGACCAGGCAGTGCTGGCCATCCCTAGTGCCAGCAGAAGAGGTATCAAAACATCACTGGCTGAAAGGTGAAAGGCCTGAAGGAGGACAAGCTGAATTTAGAACCAGGAACGGGCAGGAAGGAAGACATCAGGCAGTTGGGTTTTTACAATAAAAAGCCACTCTCTGAAGGGCTCAAATAAGCCCTCGTCATCCCTGTGTTTTCCTCAGTAACCAGTCAGTGGCACCACACTGGCCAGCCAAACTGGAGGGGATGTGCAAAGCAATGTCTAAGTGCAGATCTAACATAGACCTCTCCAGATCAGAGCTAAATTCAAATTATATTTCAAACATTTACAATCTTTGTATTAGGACCTGAGCTTTTAGTTGTCAATTCCCAACTAGAGGTTAATTAATTAATCCTCTCCATTGCTGACCCCTAACTTGGCCAGGGGACACCTCCCACAAGTCATACTGGCCCAGGCTCTGCTGAGAAGGTCAGGGAAAGAATTAATCCTGTCTGACTATCAAGAAAAATCCTCCTTTGATGGTAACATGTTACTCCACAGATCCTGTACTGCACAC